TAAACATTGCTACCTATTTTGACCTGAGTACATACAATAAGAATTGTAATCTCCTCTGCATATTTATTTTTTAAGTTAATGTTTCTTGGGCATATTAAACAGGTATTCACTTATTTAAAGGTTTAAAATTCTAAGATGTATAAAATTATCTGAACTAAGCTTAAAACTTATGAGAACCCTTGAAGGAAATACTAACTAAACATTAGGAAAAAAGTTAAATGGAAGAAGACAGAAAACCCTGAAGAAAAACAAGTAATAAATGAAAAACCATGATATGTCATAGGAAAAATAAGTGAAAAATAAATATGTTGAATTTTAAAATAAACTTATTTTAGCCTTAGGATACTTGCACATGCCCTTGTATCCACTTTAATTGTTTTTCATCTAGATACATTTATGACTTCTTTCTTTTTAATTACATCACCTTAGCTCAGATACTGCCTACGAGCTATTCGTAGATCATGCCACTAGGAGCTAAGCAAATGTCAGGATCATGCACCTAGGAGCTAAGCAAATGTCAGTCACTACCAACCTCATTATTTTTGTCTTATATTCTAAAAATGTCTATTCCATGTCTTCTCCATCAAATGCAAACAACATGAAAACTAATTCATTTACCACAGGCAACATAGAAGAGCAGAGCATAAATGGGAGTATACACACACACACACACACACATGCATACACTCAAATAACCATTCTCACTTACTACTTGAGATTGAAATTCAAGATATTTGGTAGAAATATAAAACATCATATAAATGTATTATTGATTGTCCCAATGTATTAATAAGATGGAACAAATTGAAAAGATGTGTAATCAACTCAAGTGCCAGTCAATTAACTCATGAGTGGATTAACAAAACGTGGTATGTGTATATTATAGAATACTATGTAGTTGTGAAGAAGGATGAATTAAGGCCTTTTGAAAACTTTGGGTGTAACTAGAGAATGGAAAAACAAGCACCCCATATACTTGCTATTAAATTGGAACTAACCGATGAGCACAGATGTGCACAGAGGGAAGTAAAACCCAGTGAAAATCAAGCAGGGGGAGAGAGAGGACAGCATGGGTGAAAACCTACCTAACAGGTACAATGAACACTATCTGGGTGATGGGCACACTTACAACCCTGACTCAAGCATAACAAAATTGATACATGTAACCAAAAACATTTGTGCCCATTGTGTCATATATTTTGAAATAAAAAAAATAAAAGAAAAAAATAAAGATGGAAGAGTTTCACTTGATTCATTCTCTGAAATAGCTCCTCTATTTTGAGAACTGATGTTTATAGGGAACATTGTATGTTGAAAGCATATACACAGAGATGTGTTTATATGGCAAGCAGGACTAATGTTTTTGTCTACTACAAGAAGAAAATTGTTTCGTCTTTTAATAACACTAATAGATTAGTTATATCAACAACATGTCCTAAATTATAAGTTTACAAACTATGTAAAACATTGGATAAACTATTTGTATATATATTAAATGTGCAAAATAATTTCACATGAGTATGTTATCAAAATGTTACTGTAATTATTTTCTTCATGTTTTATTCTCTTTCTAGTTTATTGCCTATGGTATTATTTTGGAAGTCCATTCTCAAACATGTTCCAAATATTCCTTGTAATTCATTGAATTGACCAGATTTTCAAGTATTGGCATAAAAATGTATCATATCCTTTGCACTTAGGACTGAACAAAAAGACCTTAAAAAATTTTTGTCAATATTTCTAGGAAAACTTAATAGGTATATGAATAATATTGTCATTCAGAACATAAGTTTTAATACATATAATATTTCAGAAATTATAACATGGCATGCATGTATTTTGAAAACATGTTCTCAAAAAAATAACAGGAGCTTGGAAAATATTACTCGTCTTCATGAAGATCAAGTACTGTCTGACCAAATTAATTTTATACTGAGTAAAAGACCCATCAGATTTAGTAAATTAAAAGAGTAATCATAGACATAATCCATCATGACTTTGATTTTTGTCTTTTATAACTTAATTTCCTTACTACTAAATAGAGAAATACAGGTTTGACAATGTAAACATTAAGGAGTGATCACCTTAAATGGCGGACATTGTGCATTATATGAACTATTAATACCTACTATACTTTATAGGGGCCCAATTCACACATAAAGTCTTTTTGCAAATACTTTTTGAATACTTGTGTAAGGGAACAGCCTTCCTTACTAAAAAGGGAGCCCTTCAAGATATGAATGTAGAATTGTTTCAGAAAGACAATATCAAGCTTAGAGGGAATAGACATGAATTTAACCCTGAGCCATTCATTGGCTTTGATGTTCTCTCACAGTGATTTTGAACACAGCAGAGGGTAAACCCTTCTTAACAACTAGCCAAGAACAGAAAAAACAAAATCACTCTTTTTCTCTCTTTCAACAATCTTTTTCTCTCTATGCACAAATATAAGATGGAAGGAAGCAAAAGTTAAACATAATAAAAAAATATACTCACCCTCAATAAGTGTATATTCTAGTCTTAAACTTATTATACACACACAAGCAATAAATATATAAAAGAGGAACTGGTAGTGCCATAACAAAGAAACACATAAAACACTACTGCAGAAGAGACTGAGTTTGGTTTATGGGCTATAGAATGGTGAGAAGGTGGACAAAGGAAATAGGCTTTAGAATGAGGTGGTTTTGAATTGTGCTTAAAATAGATGTGGGACTTTATAAGGATAGTTATAGGAATGTGGCCATTTCATCAATAGAAGGATCTTGACTAAATGCACAGAGATGGGAATATGTAGGACATTTATGGAGAAACTATAGTAAGTTCAATTTGTGTAGTGAGTAGAGTGCATGGAGAATTATAGTGGGAGATAAGGTTGCAAAAATAAGTTGTGAATTCTGAGTATCACTCTAAGATAAAATGTCTTCTGTAGAGATAGGGAGTAAACTTGGTATTCTTTCACATTAAGAAGAGCTACTTAAATGCATGTTCTGAGGAAGAAGGAAGGTATGTCAAGCTTTCTAGATGAATGAAAGTACATTTACTTGCTGATTTTTTTACTCTGGACCCAGCAGTTAATATATGATATCTTATTTAATCCTCACAATATTTTATAAGGCAGAAGATATAATGTCCATTTTATATAGGAAAACAATTACTTTATCAAAGTTATTATGGAACTTACCCTAGGAAACACAGTATCAGTGCTGCTATTTAAACCTAGCTCTAATACTGGATGCTTGTTAGAATCATCTGAAGAGTTTCTTAATCAGTATTTTAAAAATACTGATGCCTGGACTCATTCCAAGAAATTGTAATTTAATTGACGAGTAGTCTAGAACATAGTTTCTCACAAAGATAAGGTTAAAACTCATTGATTTTTTAAATTGAAGGAATGGTCATGAATAAAAATTGAGTTATTCAATAAAATTGAATAAAGAGTAATAGAGCTTGGAATTAAGAAGGAAAAAGTAGAACTGTCACAAAATAATTAAAAGATTATTACTCAAGCTTTTTCCCAAATATAGATTATACATAAAAGTAAAACAAATTTCTAATTGAAAATATTTGTATTGGAATATACGTGTGCGTGTACCCGGGTATAACCCATACACACACAGAATTGATCATCATTATTCACAGAGTTCATGTTTGAAAATTTACTGACTTGCTAAAATTTATTTGTAATCACAAAATCAATACTCAGGTTAATTTTGCGATTATTCATGAACATGTGCAAAGTAGGGGCAAAAATTTGAGTCTTCAAGAGCTTAGATCCAATCCCAGCTAAGATCATACGAGGTGACATTCTGCCTTCCTGTTTCAGCTCTCATATTATAAATAAGTGTCCTTTTCACCATCTATTTAGTGCCTTGTTTTTCTCATTTTTGGCTTTTTTTTTTTTTTTTTTTTTGTTTTTTTTTTTTTTTTTGATTTTGCTGCTTAAAATGGCCCCCAAGTGTATTGCTGAGGGGCTCAAGTATTCCCAAGCACAAGAGGGCAGTGATGTGCCTTACAGAGAAAATACATGTGTTAGATAAGCTTCATTCAGGCATGAGTTACAGCACTGTGGGCCATGAGATCAATGCTAATGAGTCAACAGTGTATATTAAGTAAGGTGTCTTTAAACAGAAACACACATTAAGGTAGTTATATATTGATTGGTTGACAAAAATGTCATGATCAAAGCTCCTGGGAACCTAACCCTATATTTTACCTTTGAGCAAGGATTCAGTATTCTTAAATTTAATGTTCACAGTGACTTTGTAGACCATAACTACTATGAATAGCAAGAACTGACTGTACATAAATGACACAAGTTTATCAAAACGGCCCTATAAATGTAATGGTTAATTTTATCTGCCCACTTGACCAGGCCGTGGGGCACCTGGACATTTGGAGAAACGTATTTTGAATGTGTCTGTGAGAGTGTTTCTGGATGAGATTAACATTTAAATTGGTAGACTGAGGAACACGGATTGCCCTCTCTGAGCCTCATCCAATCAGTTGAGAACCTGAATACAACAAAAAAGCTGACTCTCTCAAAATAAGAGGAAATTCCTTCTTCCTGACTTCCTTTGAACATGTTTTTTTTCCTACCTTCAGACTGGAACTACACCATAGGCTTTCTTGGGTCTGCAGTTTGCTGATTGCAGATCTTGGAAATTATTATCCTCCATCATCCAATTCCTTATAATAAATTTCTCTCTCTACATATGTGTTTACATGTATATACATGCACACACATGTATTGTGTTTCTCTGGAGAACCCTGACAAAACACTGATAATTGTAATTTTATTTATTTATTAGTTTAATGAATATTTTTTGAATACCTACTGCATGCTGATACCATACTTGGCTGGGAATTCAGTGCTAGATGAGATATCTATTTCTGCACTCACAGTTTATTAACTCATTCAACTCTTGTCTAAAATCTTTACCCATGGGCTTTGGTGGACATTAAGAAAAAAGATTTTGCCTACTTAAGGTCATACTTACTCAGTTTATGAATCTCCCTGGAATTTGTCTGCTTTACTGACCTAGCTTCTTGCTCAGGGAAGAAACAGGCCATGCTGCTGTCAATTCACCCAACCCTTTAACGTTCCCCATGGGGAGGGATGGCCTCCTTAGCAATTACATCGATGATGTAAGTCTGACGTGATCTCCAGAAGATCTACTCTCTTTTTCACCAATTTTCAAATTCAAATGTGCCAGTGAGAGATGATCTGGATGCTGTCACCTGGAAGACACAACCAGCAAGGTCCAGGGAGTCAAAGTGAACTCTACCATTAACAGCCAGTGGACAGAAAAGGGCAGGTGAATACATTCCTCCACTTCTTTCCTGAATTTTCAAAGAATTGATGCCAGACACAGTACCTGTGAAAAGCCGTTATTTATTTTTGTTTTTTTGAGTCAGAGTCTCACTCCGTTGCCCAGGATAGAGTGCCCTTGCATCAACCTAGCTCACAGCAACCTCAAACTCCTGGACTCAAGTGATCCTACTAACTCAGTCTCCCGAGTAGCTGGGACTACAGGCAAGTGCCACCATGGCCGGCTATTTTTTTCTGTATATTTTTAGTTGGCCAATTAATTTCTTTCTTATTTTTAGTAGAGACGGGATCTCCCTCTTGCTCAGGCTGGTTTCGAACTCCTGATCTTGAGCAGACTGCCCGCCTTGGCCTCCCAGAGTGCTAGGATTACAGGTGTGAGCCACTGCGCAAAGCCATTTTTGAAGATGATCTGCAGGACTGAAGGTCAATTATGTTTTCTTATGGTGCTATAGCAGGCTCAGTAATAACCACTTTGTATTTATTTTATCTCCTTGTATGCTTATTTTCCTTTTTCCTCACTCTTGCTTGTTGCTGGGATTGCCCTTACTCATACAACCACAGATACAAATTCTGTTGGCTGGAGAACCTAGACCAAGACTTGGGTTATTTCAGATTATAACTTGATATTGTTTACCCTATCTATAATGGATTCATTTCTCCTTTTCTTAATTTAGACAAATTAAATTTAACAGAGTTTATCGAACAAAGGATGATTCATGAATCAGGTGGCACTTGGAACCAGCAGAGGTTCACAGAGCTCCACCCAGCAATATAAGCAGTCAGCTTTTATAAGCTAAACACAGAAGCAAAGTAGAGAAATCAACCAATTGGATGCAGCTTTTTGCCCCATTCGGGCTTGCTGGGATCAATCAGCTGCCTGTGACTGGCAAAAGCTTGGCTATGTGCAATTATCTGAAACCTGGCTGTTTGTTACAAAAGTATACTCCTAAATTAGGTTTTAGTTTGTTTATTTACCAAGTTACATTGCAATTTATGTAGAAACTCAAAGTTTGAAGACAGCCTCAGGCCAATGGCCTCCTACTTATTTAATTTAACACACTAATTCACCATATATTTATAGAAAGCACTGAGAATACTACAGAGAGGAAAAACAAATTTGCCCACGTTCCCAGGAGGTTATTTCCTCTGGCTCTTTTTCTTCACAATTTAAGTGGGAATACCTGAACCATTCTCAGCACTGTTGTGAGGATTAAATGTGATAATACATGTATCATGCTTAGCATAGGAATGATATGTTCTCAATAGGTGGGTAGTATTTATTATTTTTTGGTGCTATTATGATCACTACTAAAATTATCTAGGTATGTTGATTGGTCAATAGTAACCAGTATCCTACCAGAAAGTCATAATAATAATCAGACAGGATAATTTGCTTTGAAATACAAAGTTGAGATCCAGATTGGAAAGATACCATACAAGTAATAATAAGGGGAAATGAGAATAATTGCTTAGAAAAGAAAAGGATATAGGTAACTGTTAAAATATTATCTAATTATTATATACAGGCTAGAGATTTGTAAACACAGGGAGTCTCTATTTTCTGAGTTCATGAAAATATGGGCAAGGAGGTTTAAAACAGAGCATTTGTAACTCACTCCAGAAAAAAGACAAAAATGTTGTTAAATTTTTGACAAATTTTAAATAGTCATCTTAGAATATATTTTAAATATTCACCTTAGGTTTTTTAAAAATAATTGATGGCCCTTGGTTGAAAATGTTTTTAATAACTTGAAAGTGTTTTTATACAACTTGAGAATCAGATGATGGAATAGTTCCCAGAGGTTCCCACCCAAGCATTGACTTTAAAGATTCTGAAGATTGTATTTGTGTATTTATCATATGTGGATATTAAAGATGAGCATAGAACAAATTTTGTCATTGTGATTAGCAAGGCTATCAATGACTAATAGAATCATGTACGCAGGTCCCCATTTTCTCCAAATCAGCTGATCTGAGTTTCAATAAAGTAAAGCATTTTGATAGATTGAAATGTCAACCAATTTAAATCTATGAGTTCAGATTTGGTTATTATGTTTGTTATTTTTACTAAGTAACAAATTACCCCCAAATTTAGCAGCTTATACTAACAACATCTTTTTATTTCACAGCTTCCAGGCTCTATTGTGGCACAATCTGCTCTGAATTTCACTCATGTGGCTACTGACAGGCCTTGCCTCCTCACTGGTTGTTGGCCAAAGACATCAGTGTTTTGCCACATGAGATTTCCTGTAGGGCAGGTCAAACATGTAGCTGACTTCTGCCAAAGCTAGTAAGGGAGGAAGCAAGATAGTGTAGAAAGACAGAAGACACAATGTTTTTATAACCTAATCTTGAATTTGACATGCATATTTGGTCATATTCTCTTATTAAAAGTGAATCATTAAGTCCAGCCCACAGTCAAAGGGAAAGGGTTAAACAAGAAAGAATCATCAGGGCTATCTTAAAGGCTGCCTTCCTTGAATAGAGAAATCAATTCATTATCTGAAACACCAGGTAAAGATATCAAACCTTTGGGGAAAGAATCAAGTCTTGCTTATATGAACTGTTTTACTTAGTAAACTAGAGATGCGATAAAGTATCTTTTTAACAAAATCATTCAATTTAATAAATGAACAAGACATTGTATTAATAGAATTAAAATATCAACATTTTGAAACTCTATTAAAGTAATGAGTATAGATATTGAATATAAATTTATCTTAATTTTCAAAAAAGTGTGATTAGGGAATCAGCAAAGGACCCTGTTTTTTCAACATATAAAAAAGGGATGGAAAGGAAGCCTTCAGTTTAAATAGACTTAACCAACTAGCCATGTGTGGAAAAATAGACAAGATTAAACCATAGTATCTAGGGCAGGGGTCCTCAAACTTTTTAAACAGGGGGCCAGTTCACTGTCCCTCATACCGTTGGAGGGCCGGACTATAGTTAAAAAAAACAAAAAAAAAAACAAAACAAAAAAACAACTGTGAACAAATTCCTATGCACACTGCACATATCTTATTTTGAAGTAAAAAACAAATGGGCAAAAACACCCACGTGTGGCCGGCGGACCATAGTTTGAGGACGCCTGATCTAGGGATATATACTGAGTGATAAAAACCTAATGAACTGATAACATTATTACCATAAAGGCAGGGCAGTAGTTAATTTTGAGGGAGACAAGGGGATATGATAAGACCATATTTTGCAATATTTTTGCCCTCCCAGTACCCTGGGTGAGTGTTCTTTTTGTTCCCTAGCATACATGTTTATGTGCAATACCTTAAATTTTCCAGATCATTCTTTGAGAACTATGGCAGTTTATATTGTCCAACAATGTCTTCAGTGATAACTTCTATCCCTCATGCACTTCTTCAATGAGATCTTGTTAGTCCATTAACAGGTGGAGTCTAATCCTCTGTCTTGGAATCTGGGTGACTTAGTGACTTGCTTGACCAACAGAATGGGGCACAAGTGACATTCTGCAAATTCCAAACATAAGCCTTTAGAGAATGGCAGCATTTGACTGAATCCCTTTGAATATTCACTGTTGGAACATTTGTTGGAACCAAACAGTCATTGTGTGAGAAGCCTGAGCCACACTAACAGGGAATATGTAGGCACTTGGCAAAGTCCCAGTTGAGTTCCCAGCCAACAGCCAACATCAACTCCCAGTCATGAGAGCGAACATTATTGATATTCCAGAATAATGGAGCCCCCAGATGACTTCAGCCTTATCCAATATGACATGAAGTAGAAGAATCACCAACCTGAGTCTAGTCAACATAAGAACAGTAACAGATAATAAATGTTATTATAAATTACCAAGTTTTAGGGTGGTTTGTTATGCAATAACAGATACCAAGCATGGGATTCATTGAGGACTCATTACTATCAAGATCATCTTTGTAAAACATAGCAGAATTGAACACAATGAATCTGATTATTATTGCCTTGATTTTTTTGGTAGTCTTTATTAAGAATATTGTCAATTTTTAAAATTTATCATATGTGTTCCATGTACTTAACTGACAGCAAGTTTTAATCTTGTTTTGACATAATGTTAGACCTGTATGTTCCTTTCTGTGGATGATTTACTTCATAATACTACAAAGACCACTCTTCTTATTTCTTTCTCACTTTTTGAAGAAACTCTTCAACTACTGCCTAAACATTTATAACCTTTAAACCTTTTCTTTTCTTTTGTATAGTAAAACATATTTATTCTTAGGATGATGGGTGATCCTGCATTCCATATGTCAACTAAGATATATAATGAAATGTCCATTTAATTTTTTCTCCTTACTTGAGTGCCCCAAGCTACCTTCTCTTACTGTTAGTGCCTTGGTACACTCAACTTTTGGAAATGACGGTTATTTTGAGGAATTGAGAATTCATGATTTCTACCTCCTTAGGCCTGGAGCCATGTACTACTCCCAAGACTCGATTCCTTCCTTCATTCCCATTAAATATTCTTTCTGGGAGAGTCCCGTATTCTCAAGCTTTCACTAGATGTCTATATTTTGATTGCTGATGAACCAGTTTTCTTATGTCAAGAATTAAATATCCAACACTTACTTTATTTTCACTCAAACACTCCACTGACAAGAATGAAACTTAATGTTAATCTGTGTTAACAAATTTCCAGGTGACAAGAAGGTGCTTTGGCAGTGGGCTAAAATTTTCACTCCTTCAAACACCCCTCCCCCTCAAAAATTTGAATACATGGACACTACTGTTACTTCAATTCCAAGCCATCACCTGGTTGTCCCATAATTATCCCCCTGTAGTGCCATTTTGTTATAAATGAGAAACTGTAGTTCCAAAGAATCAATCCAAAATGTTTACTTGTAAAATTGTAAAACTTGTAAAGGACTGTTTATATAAGTCTATAAACAGAAAAAGGAGAGGTCATCTTTAACTAAACTGTTCACATAGTTTGAAAAATGACTGCGGATGGAGATGAAACAGATATAAGGCAGTGACTCTGGGGTTTCAGCACTGCTAGGGGTGGGCTAGATGTCATGATGTTGGTCAGACCATTGCCCCAACAGCACCTGCAAGAATCAGAAGTATGTGGTATCATGCACTTTCTCTGTTCATCTAGGCTGAGCTAGTTTTATTCTGGGTTGTAGCATGGTGTGGGGATAATTATTGTTCTGCTGGCAGTAATAAGTTGCCACATCTTCAGCTTCCAAGCTACTGATGGTTAACCACAAGGAGACCCTGATGGACTGGGAGGCATACCTTATGAGGAGTTTTGGAGCCTGATCTGGTTTCTGCTGGTACAAGTTTAAGTTGTTGCTAATTTGGAGTAGATAGATTGATTGATAGAAAATAGATGATGATGATGATGATGATAGATAGATAGATAGATAGATAGATAGATAGATAGATAGATAGATAGATAGCTACATACATGCATACATACATAGCTAGCTGCATTTTTATTGCATCATTTTTCTTGAACTATCTCATTGTTTTAGTTTCTGGCATTTCACTGATATTACGTTGGTGCTACATGCTACTTAATTCTTAGGTTATGCTTATACTTTCTTTTACCCTCCAACAAAGTATGGGATTTGTACCAAAATTTAAATAGTTTTCAATTCAAATTATACTTCAATTATTTTGTTTTGATTAATAGTTACCAGACAATAGCAAGTCTAACAGGTGAATCTGTAACTAAAAGTTTGCATACAAGAACTTTTCTGTGTTTACTTTCTGTGTCTACTTCTATCTCAAACTTTATTCTTTTAAGTATATACCAAGCCAGTCAACTACCAGTATCTAAATTGAATTTGTTTATGACCAGTATAAACAAATGTGTAGCCAAGCGAGGTATCAGAAGTCTTCAAATGTTAACCTCAACATTTTAACAAAACACGTTTTGATATGTTTTATTGTTGTTGCAATCTTTACTATAGAGATGGACTAAGGTTATGCCCTTTCTGTTTCTTATAATCTTTGACTCAAGGAAGAGGAAGGATAATTAATGCTCGGTATAGTCTGGGAAAATGCTATCAGCTTTTAGCTGTCTTATTAAAGTATGTTTGGTTTTTAAAAACATACTGTGTGTTTTAACTGGCTATTGAAACTCTCATGGGTTCATGAGGTCATATAAACATAAGAGGTTATAAATACTCTGTGAGAATCAAAGTGAAAAAATGAAGAAGATCAAAGTGATTCAGTTTACAGCTTTCGTGGAATGTGAGGCCATATTTTGACTTTTTCCCTGATACTAACCATATACTTTCTAGAGTCTAGACCAATGTAGTGTGGTAGTTCATTCCTGAAAATACTATTTAACTTTTTGAAGTATAGGCCTACTCTATTTTTTCTAAAGTGAAATAAAAATAAGACTTAAAACTGGAACAATTTGGCAGTATTGGAATACACTGGAAACATCAAATAGAGGCCACTGTCATTTGGAGGGGTGAGTAGAGAAATAACAGGATAGATTCCAACACCTCATTTACTATTGAACACAGATCTTTTTTTCACAAAAGCAACATAATGTAATTATTAAATTAATATTAATTATGGAACTGTAGATAGGATATTCAAGGGGTTATAAATTTGATATAAAACCTAGAAATATTTCTAAAATAAATCCAAACACTTCCAAAGTCAAGATATTGCTATTTTTTTCTTTTTTTTAAAAAAAAACAGATTTTAGTCTATAAACAGGGACACTTCACATGTTCCACAGTGAACATAGTGCAAAATGAGGACTCGTGATTAACTAAAATGCCCATTTACTGCCCGACCATCATGTTTACCTTCACTTCAAGCCCTTTCCAGCTCCAAGCCCTATCTTGTTTTCAGGGAATTTCAGGGTGTTAACAGTAACTCCTCTGATTTTAAATTCGTATTTGTAAACTCTGCTAGCATGCCCACTGTGTTGCCTTCTCACAGCCTGTTCTCAGAGTCGAGACAAGACACGAAGAATATTTTGTAAGGAAAGAACTCATTTCAAGTGGAATATTGCATTTTACTTTATCAATTAGATGGAAACACTTAGGTGATCCTCCAATAACTCTTGTCCTACAGTATCTGTTCCTCCTCCTTCCATTATAATTTTGTTGTTGTTTTAATCTTTGGCAGTTTGCAGCTAGATATGATCAAGTGATTAATTTGTTAAATGGGATATTTTAAGAGAAGGCGTTCTGGGGAAGCTTCCAAAAAGCTTTTTAAAGTGTCAGCCAGCCTATGCACTTTGGTCTCTTTTTAAAAATTTTCTTTCTCTTCCCATGTGCAGTCCCATGTGTGTATGGATACAGCTTGTATCATGAAAAGGAAGGACAGGCCCTAGAGGTGATGAGTGCATAAGTTTGAAGAAACTCTAAGCTCATGAAGACTTGCAAGAATAGAGCCACTGTACTAGTCCTAGACTACAAAGCTGTAGACGTTTATGAAGGAGAGAAATACATTTCTAATTCATTTAGGAGAATGCCTTTTTAATTGTTTTTGAGTGGAGGCATTTATTTATTACAAAGGAACATAATTCCAATGAATTTAGTCATAATCAGATTTTTCTGTTAGTCTGTGGATTCATGACTATACTTAGTCCTTGGTTTGAGATTTACATGATGAATCATGTATATTAAGAAATTATTGAGCACTTGTCATATGCAGTATTTGGTGCACAGGATGATGAGATGATCTTTACAAAAATGAAGAATACACTAACTAACCACATTTTGCATGTTGAAACAGCAGCCTGAAGAAAGTGACTTTTAACTTATTAAAGAAAACATTTGAATCTATTATCTCCTCCTTCTCATCTTCTTCCCCACCCCACGCTTGCCATTAACTAAAAATACATGAAAACAATATTGCCTTGCTATTAAATGTGCTATTTACCAAATGCCTTTGCCCTCCATTTCTGTGTGCACTAACCTTGAACTGCAGGTTAAGAACTAAGAACTACAAATATTAAAATCAATATTCAGAACTTCTCACCTAGCCCAAACTTTACTTGCCTTAAGGAGGTGAGTAGAGTTGCTTTTGGCAAACATGTAGAGTGTCTGTTATTCTGTAAATTATGCACATCCATCCAAGTAAGTCATATCCTTTAGAATCTACTGACCTTTAGTCATTCTCTTTCTATGCTAAATTCGAAGACCACACCTTATTTTTCAGAAAGCAACCATAAGGTGTAGCCTAAAGATTAAATATCAAACGTGTACCAACTTCAGCATGTTACCTTGTGTTTTCTTTTTTCACATGTTCAATTTAGGTCTTATTTTTTAAGAAAGTAGATTCTTTAGGAAATCTGTTTCACCTTCAAGATGGCTGCCAGGTAGGGCATTTATAGAGAGCTGGGGTCAGCTTCTGGATGGAGTTTGATTTTTGAACCAGAGCAAACTCGCCCCCTCTGGGCTCACAAACACCCCATTGTTTCCCCTTAGGCGTAGCTGGCTGAGAGGCAGTTGCTGCTGACACTGTGTGCGGGGGTCTGGTCCCACAGCTCCTGGGATGAAACAAGCAGGTGAAATCGATGTGAAAGAGCAACCATCAGGTGGAAGCACAGGGCAAGGTTGTCTTTTTCATATTTTATATGAAACATTTCTGTGAACTAAAGGTAAAAAAAACATAGATGGAGTAGGATTTTACAGCAGGGAGTATTGATGATGTTGGAGCTGATTTTCCCTTTCATCTTTTATTTTAAATTTGACAGTGTCTGCTTATATATGTGTAAAATGACTCTCTCAGAACAAACCTGAGCAGATGCCCTGAAAGGTTAAAGGAAATATGGATGAAATAATTTCCCCATTTTTATTACTACGTTTAAGTAGTTTTCTACAGGGAAATGAATCTATCATTAAAATACATCTTCCTATATCCTGTTTCCCTTTCTGAGTAAAATGTGTAATTTATAGAAAGTTTTAATGACTGTATTTTAAGTGATCTATTTTTCAAAAAGATTATGGCTCAGGTAAAGGGAAAGGATCCTACTTCCCTTCCTCAAATGTATATCCTCTGCTCTTCTGGGATGTTTTTGCAAGATCTGAGATAAAATTTCACTCATTTTCATAACAGATTAAAGACCTCTGTCTCCCCAAGCCAATGTGTTCTATCACACGTGAGAAAGTGTTTAGAGATTGGAAGCTATTTTTCAATTTATTCCCAATATGATGACCATATTTCTTTGAAAGAATTATTTTGAGAGAAAATTAATGGAGTATCTGAGGAAAATTAAGAAAGAGTGAGCACGGATTGAGAATGAGATGAGTAAACTATAGAATATTAGAACTCATTTATCTCAAAAGACAAAAATACACAAGTTACCTTTTCCTTCCCTAACTGCCCCAGGTTCTCTTCTACTTTTTCTTCGAATTCCTTATCTTTCAGTTCTGAACACACACACACACACACACACACATTCCTTCAGGCTAGTTAGTGCTCAATTCCCTCACCTGTTTGGACAAGAAATGCATACTGCAGTCATGTGCCACAGGCCATGGTTATACAAAAGTCTCAGGTCAATAGAGATCACTTGCATTTCTTAAGAGCATTTTCATCTTCTTTTTGGGGCAGGGCTAGTAGAAAGGAAAAAAGATAAATGTCAAGGATGCTGGCTGTCAAATTCTTAAAGATACCTCCACCACTTCCAAATAATTTGATAGCCCTTAAACTGTTGTTACCTTGCCTTAGAAAAAATGACCTTTTCTCTTTTACCCCTCATCACAAGGCATTCTCTCTTTCAAAATGAAGTTAAAGCCTTGATCCTCTTCCTGAATGATATAAAATAAAGTAAGAGAAGATTGGTAGGTTTTCTTTAAAATTATACTTTAATAAAAAACAAGGGGAATAATAAACACTATATGTTAGTTTAACATATTTGACATATGTTTTGTGAGTTCATACGTGTATCTTGAGGGTCATACACATAGGCTTTGCACAATTGAATTGACTTTCATTGGAGAATTTTGGCCATCTTTTCTAATGTATTTATATATTGCTAGTATTTAAAATGTCATTTTCTTCCATAAATGACCATTTTCATGACTAGGGATAATTGACTAGAAGTAATATCATTATCAAATCCATGCTATCCAAATTATAGTGAAGATAAAAATAAAGGAAACAGTAGACAATTCATTCTTTTTTATGGAAATTTCAAAATATCATAAAATATTGACTTTTTCTATATCAATTTTCTGCTTATATAGTGTACTAAGTGAAATATAACGTTAAAAAATGCTCAAAAGGTGGTTCGGGAACCTCAGTCATTCTCAAGGAATAATCTATAGTTAATCCCAGGAATCATCTGATATAGTCCCATTATCATAAAAAATCAAGAGCATATCATAAGGTCAAAATTATAAGTAGAACCCAGATCCTGAGTCCATTTAAGTCTTTAGGGTCAGATCATGTTAAATGTGTATTAGTATGTGTGAGTGTTTGTGGTTTTGTCTTTAAACTGTACATGAGGGAAATAGTTGCTTTTCAGTGTTTGGTAAACAATGGAATCTTTAGGGTAACTTACGTACTATAATAAAAACAATTGAAAGATTTGGTGACAAGCCTCTCTTCTCTCTTTTATTCTTTTCATTGACTGGAGAAAGAGAGCTTGGCTAAAAATGGATGGAGAATTAAAGTCATTATCTAATATATAGTGACAAAGGAAAACAGATTAAGAAGATATTCTTTTCAAAAACAATTAGGACATACTGAGTGAGATAAAAAAATTTTAATCACCATTAATAAATCAAACAATTAAAATGATTTCAAAGATACAGGTTTGAATTTTCATTTGTGAGATACATGTACACGTGTATAATGGTAAATAGGTATGAAATCCATTATGAGCTAGGACTTTGAGCTATAGACTTGCAAGTGAAATTTGTCTTAGCAAATTTAATGTATATAAAAACTGAAAAATGTTAGGATCTCTGCCTATGGACTCATAGGCTTCTAAGCAATAGGATAAAGATTAGTATTTTGTCCTGATGACCTACATTTATTTATTTAGTCTTAATTGAAGAGCTACTGTGAATTTAGATTGCCTGTTGGTTTAAAATTCCAATCTATAGAATGGAATCAAATTATAAAAGAATAAAACAATGATCAGCTAAGCTATGTTGTTTGCACACATAGAGTGACTTTTTGAGAACTTCAATCATTACTTGTGATATTTGCTTAATTTTATGAGGATTATACTTCAGTAATTGTTTCTGCTTCAATAATAGTCTTTTTTCCAAAGAACATTTATTATTGGACAAGTGACTTATTTGTATTAATTATCTTAGCTTGTCAATGTGAACTCACCTAATCAAATGCACTATATTGCAACAGAAAGGGAAAATTCTGAGCTGGAGAAAGCTTTAGTTTTCTTAAAAATAAAATATCTTTAAGATATGAAAACTATCTCATATCATATTGCAGGAGTTTTACAACAAAATGTTTACATACAATCTTGTAGAACAATTCCTCAAGAATGGATTTAGTCACGATTTAATATGCCTAAGAGATGATTCCTCATAGCAGAGTCTTTTTAAACAGTGTTAACACTTTATTTACAAAACCTAAAACCAGTGACCCTTTAGATGAACGATAATAGGTAATTTTATGATTAGCATGCTTATAGAAGTAATGAAATATGTATTCACTTAGTCAAGGAATATGGCTCAGAAAATAAATCAGCAAGCTGGTTTCAAACTTCTTGTCTCTTGATTGATCTTCAGACTTTTCCTATAGCAGTGCTTTAAAAATTATGAGATAAGCCAATTTATTCCAGTCTTATTTCAAGGTGTTTTTGCAGTGCTGGAATCTTTATTTTAGATTGATTTTTATAATTATAATCATAATTGCCCTCACTTTACCATACTTAGCATTGACTGCTTCCTTTTTGAATCAAGATAGATAAAAACAGACAAATTCTGTTTAAGAGCACAAAGGGTCATGCTCAATTTCAAACCACAGCCATCAAAACCCTGGTACTCTCCTGGCCCAGTCATTTTCTACTTGATAAGTAAACCCACTTGAGGCATGTTTATATGCCCTGATGCGTTTGGACACGTTCACTGACAGAACACATTCTTTGAAGAAATATATCAGAACTGTTTATCTCCCTGAGTGTTACCCTAAACCCTGTCAGTGCTAATGATATCAGGACATGGATTAAATAAATCCTTTTGAGAGTGACTATGGGTATTTCTGCATTCAAATCACAAATATAGGAATTTTGGCTCCAAAAGTGGGCAACTGATATTTCAACATGCATAGCATTCTGCTCATGCAAAAAGCTTTCATAGAGAACTGCTCCAGAGAAGCAGTTCTGTCACTCTTAGGTTTTGCATATGACTGCCGCCTTCCACAAAAAAGGAAAAAAGTACACTTACAAATTGCATGTGTGAGGATCATTCTATCACAGAAAAAGAAAAAAATAATATAATACCATTTCTTTCAAAGTGATGAGTTAGTAATGCTGGTTTCCTAAGTGATAGCGATGGGTGCAAATTGTGTGTGCCTCCCATCCTGTTTTCTCACACCAATAAATGAAGATAGACTATTTTTACTCTTCCTTATTACTGGAATCAAGCCATTAATGTCTATATGGATGATACCGTGAATTGTGAGAGTAAATCTATTATATTTATTTTGAGCATAATGATGTCCTCTACCTTTTTTTCAGTGCAAGTGGATTTTTTTTCAAGGAATTTACATCTTTCAATGTGTTTTTCTATATGTTTACAGTCATTTGTTTTAACAATCCCAAATAAATATTTTATAATAAAAGATAACATTGGAAACATTATTTACAAGCACTTTGTATACAAATCTGTTTATATCTAAAAGATAGTGATTTTTATGTTAAGGACCTTTTTATTTAATTTTATTTAGTTTTCATTTAGTTTACTTTGCTATGAAGATGATTGCTACATAGAAGAGGGAAAATAACTTCAAAACTTATTTAATCTCTAGATCAAACTTGAGAAGTAATCAAAAGTACTTTAGTGCTAAACAATTAAACTTGCTTTTATTTCCAACGACTTTTAGTATAAAGTTATTCTTTTGTCTTTATTTCACATTTTTTAAAATTAAATATGACACATTAATTTTTATAGATGTTATATTCTGGAATGAGTTGTATAATTATTTAGAAGCCTTTTAAAAAATTCCATAGAAAATATGTGTTTTACCAAGCTATTTTCAAAGTCACCACACATTTAATTGTGTGTTACCCAAATGAAGAACCTTTTTCCTGACTACAAAGTCAGGTATTCTATTGCTTATTTATTATGAGAACTACAGATAACATTTTTTTCATCTTTTTTGTATTGCCTATCTTAATTTTGTGAAATCATATAATTTTAAAGACCAACAAAAATTATAGTATCCTATTAATTTGGGAACTAATGTCACAATGGAGTGATATTGTAAAACTTGAAATTATTCAGCTGCTGACATAAATTTGTTAATGGTTTCTGAAGTTTTAATGAAAAATAATTGAATGAAGAAATTATTGAAATGATGCAAACAACAGATTGTTCTCTATAAACTTCTTTTTTATGTCTGATCTTCTAAACATCATATGAATAAAGCTCTTTCGTTTGAACAATTTCACAATTGCTGGTGAGTGAAATAACCAGATAATTTTTATAATCAGTTGACTCCCTTATGTTTCATATTATGAATTATCTTTAAGAATGAAATAATCCTGCAGAAAAGTTGAAGAATGGCTGCGTCTATGGATAAAGTCAAATTGAAATGCCTATAAAATATTTCGAGAAGTGTATTTTAGATGTATAAGTAGGTACACGATATTCCAATTGCTACTCTAAAGTACCATTTTCAGTCTCTTCTCAATAGTTTCTATCAGTTCATATTTACAAATGGACAAGAAAAACCCACCATAGAGAGCCACACAACAGCCCATTAAACCAAAGCTGCTACAATGCTTTAACTGACACTTTGAAATTGATGCAGCACAGACTGTGGCGGGCGTCAGTGAAAAAGGGGAGTTCAAAAACAAACAGTATTTTTTATTTATTTATTTTTTACTTTTTGGTATTCATGCTATTCAGAACTAAGTTCTGAACAGAAAAAAAAAAGAAACTTTAACAAAAAGCATATTTCTTTTTGATTACCAGCTTTAGCCCAAACCATGTTGGTTTTAAAGAAACAGTAGAGTTGATAAGCTACAGTTGGTGTGCAGCTACCTACTGCAGGCTGTGTTTCTCAGCCTATAGACTATCCAAACCCCACTACAGTTTAATGTTTTGCCTTAAATGCAAAGAAGAAATGCCTTGTGTTTTTAAATTGAAAATAAATGAATTTAAATTAAAAAAAAACAACTGAAGTGATTTAGTATGTATTTCTCTTTTTAGAAACTAACGTCTTTATGTTCACTCATCTTAAGAGACACCTGTACTATTCATTCTACTCAATGCCCAATATACTTAGTGTTTATATACAATTGTTTATTTATATTTATAATACATATGAATATGTAATATATTGTATATTCTGTAGTATGTATAAATGACTACTGAATGAATATGTAAAATGATAAGTAATAATGCATGTA